TAATGTAACTGGTAGTGTTTATGATAAAAAAAAAATAAATAATGTGATCGGTATCGGTATCGGCAGGAAAAAACCTGATCGGCACATCTCTACTATTCAGTCAATAGGACAACTGAAAAACCTGCAATCAGTAAAATAAACAATAAGATTCTCAGTACTCTAAGTTATACTAGTTGTGTAAATTAAAGACAAAACGTAATTACTTAAGTTTTAGACTTATGCAGACATACAGCCATGGATAAAATACCACTATCGTTTTCTTCAGGTTTATTTGTTTTTATGTCCTGTACAATTAATAGTTCACAACTGTTTAATTAGAGAACTGATATCTAGCCATTTTACAATAATAGAATATCATGTAATATGTTTTATGTTACTCCGGTGCAACAACAGCAAAATGAGAAACAATCAAGGCAGATAAAGCATGAAAAAACAAATGAAGGGCAACGTGCTGTACAATATTGACAGTTATTTATAACTGAGGAATGTCTTTTCATTCTCTGTGCTACGTTGACAAAAACAACTCATTCCTCATGGCTCCATCGAGCTGCCGCTGAATATTGAATCTGATGCAAAGAAAAGCCGCCATCTTTCTTTTTTTTAAAAGTTTTATTGGCTCTAGTGGCCTTTATTTGATAGTTAATTGACAGGAATGTTGTTAATGAGAGAAGGGGGAAGACATGCAGCAAAGGTCACCAGGCCAGGAATCAAATCTGCGACGGCCGCGTCGAGGACTAAGGCCTCCATACATGGGTTGTGCTTAACCCCTGCGCCACCGCAGCACACCTGAAAGTTGGCATCTTTGTTCACTGCTTGTATCTTCCATCACTTCCGTTGTGCCTTAGTTTTTCTTCTCTCTTTGCTGCTCCGTCTGACCACGCCCACGGCCAATCAGTGAGCAGGAGTGACGCTTGCATCACCCACAAAAGCAGGGCCGGCCAGGCTGACCATGCTCCGAAGCCGGTGGAAAAGGGGCATTATTGAATTGTTTCAATTTGTTTACTAATGAAAACCATGTTTTTTCCAGATGAGAGCCTTACTATTTCCTCCAGCTATTATTTGACAGATGGAATTTCTGTTCTTTTTTTCTTGAAAAGAAATATCAAAACAAGCTGTTCTGCTATGATAGAAGTATAGATAACAATTGTTTGTGGCATTCATTAAACTGGTAGAGCTGATCAGAAACTCCAAGTACAATCAAGAGTGCGTACAATCTTAAGCTATATGGAAAATATTTGGTAAAAGTTTTAAGTATGCTTTGCCAAAATGGGGTTAATATTGTACACTAAGGGAGTGATCTACTAAAATTACAAATAATGTTCAGTAAATTTTGCAAAGGACAAAAAAATGCTGTGATGCCCCCTCCACTTTTGTTACGGCTCAGAGGGTCATAATATATGTGCATTAAGTGGGCGCGTTGTTGTCAATCTACAAAGATTGATTGCGCAATTGATTAAAAAGAGCAACAGTGGTGCAGACTGCCCTTTTTAAATGAGGATTTTGTATGAGTCACTGACTGTCATCGTGGAGAGTGATAGAGAACAGAGAGGCTATAAAAGAATAACAAAGTAGAAAGTCATTATACTGGTGGTATAATTTACTTGCTGTTGTCACTGTTTTTCTGATTGCATTTTTCTGGACAGCAGAAGCATTTCCAAACCAGCAGATGATGGAAAAGAATAAAACCCTTTCAATAAAAGCACAATAAAACAGATGAAGAGTCTAGCTATGAACATTAAAGAACAACTTTAAAAAGTACATTGTTGAGTCTTTGTACTAATGAGATCATTCCATAAATCCCACTTCAATTTGTGATAAAGCACAACACCATGATATTTAAAATATGTAGCAGGCTCCATAAGTTCATAGTCAATACACATTGTGCTGGACGATTGGCTTTTTCAGAAATCTATGGGAAATTTTTTTTAGTTTTGATTAGACTTAAAGGAGATTGTGTTGTTTACAACAGTTGAGGAAAAAATCTAAAACTGAGCCATGGTCCTCTTCTTCATCAAATAGAAGACTAACTAAGGCTGTCACTTGCATACTTAATTATTTGTTTAATTCACTGCCAGATAAGGATGTGCGGTACAGGGTTTCCCCCAGAAACTTGCTAAGCCTGGTGGCTGAGGTGGTCCACCGTGTTTTTGCATTAAAAGATGTTAAGTTGACCTAGCGACCACTCATTATCAGTTTTATGCCACAGCCCAATATGTTGTAGTATTTCTAAGAATTTACAGTGACATGCAGCCAAAATTTCCCATGGCCTATGGAAGTATCACAAATTCTGTTAGTTGTATTCCTACATATTAATAGCAGACTGACCTGGAATCTTAGTTAGTCAATAGCTTAATATTGATCTCATCTGACCAAAGCACAGTTTTGGCTAAAGTTGCAGGAGGGCTTGGTACCTTTCAAACGTTTACATTTGTGTTGTTTTGTTTTTCAGGACTCTTCAAGTAGTGACGAATCTGACACCTCAAGTGGATCCAGAAAGCGAGGGAATTCAGACTCCTCTGACTCTGGATCAGGCTCAGTCTCTGGGAGTGATACTGGGTCAGATTCATCGACAGAGGATAACAGTAATGAAACTGCATCAGACTATGAGCCCAGTCTCAAATTTAAGAGCAGAAAACTTCCAACCAAGTAAGTGAATTGTTGACTGTGAATAGTTGCTGCCAACCAAAAAGAGGTTTACAAGTTTAGGCCACTTCAAGAACTGGCACTTTAGGTTAGGTTTTATTAAAACATTCTTACAAGGACAAACATGGCTTTGTTTAAGCATCTTCCAAAACATTGGAACCTCCCCTTTAACAGAAAGAAATTGCCGACAGAACCTGGCTCAGAGAGAGTGCTCATCTGCCTGGGGATGCACCAACCCACCTATTTCACATAATGTAAAGCACTTTGAATTGCCTTGTTGCTGAAAATGTGCTATATAAATAAAATTACCTTACCTTACTTATGATACGATACACATATCTAGGCCTGTCACGATAACAAATTTTGCTGAGCGATTAATTGTCTAAAAAATTATTGCGATAAACAATAATATTGTTTCAAGACCTTTTGACACTGATTTAATGGAAATGACTAATAATGCATGCTATTTCCTGCCATAGATAGATACACTTTATGTTCAAAAGAACACATAACACTGGAACTAATAAACTAAACCAGGGGTCACCAACTCCAGTCCTCGAGGGCTACCATCCTGTAACTTTTAGACGCATCTCTGCTCAAACACACCTGGATCAAATAAACTGCTCGTTTCAAGCCTATTGCAGAGAGGAATGAATGCTGGTGAGGGAATTCAGACATTTTGGAGCAGAGGTGAATCTAAAAGTTGCAGGATGGTAGCCCTCAAGGACTGGAGTTGGTGACCCCTGAACTAAACAAAACAACCAAAAATAAAATGGATTCTCAGTTTCCATTAACAAAAAAACGTACTTGAATAATAACTAAACAACATCAAGCCAAAGTGGAAATGAGTAGTGTGTAGTGTGATTTAGATCGTTGTGGCCGCTCCGATCTAAATCGGTCTAAATCAGGGGTTTTCCCCAACTGGGAGCTTAACGCTGAATGTGACAGGTAGCCAATCAGAAAGTGCGGATTCTCCTCCTGCTTTCTGAGGGGAAATTACAGAGGGGAATCACAAACAGCTGATACAATGCAACCCAAAATCCAGCTGACATGATATGTGGAAATATTAATATTTATTTAACATTTCGTGCAAAGAATATAGAAATGACAAGGGGAGGAGTTGGAGCCAAATTGCCTCCGCAGTTGATAAACCCGGTAAGTTTTCAGCTGTTCTTCGTTAACTTGACATAAATAGGTTATAATGATTATAATGATTTTCATTCAGTCAGGACTTTATGCTGACTCTAGCCACATGCATTGCAGATGGATTCTAGGAAAGCATTGATTAATGCCTGATTTTAAAATTAGTTAACTGGCTTGTAGCCATTATTTTGGGCTACAAGTCCAAAATAATGGCTGTGTGTCCCCAAGACATACAGAAAACTCTCCTGCACCCATGTGTTACACTATGCAAAGTCAACCATCTTGGGTTGAAGTTGTGGCACTGTGTGGACTCGGATGGGATTTTGTGACTTGAAGAATTTGCAAAGAAGCCTCACCGTACATGAACAGTCGACCACTCGTACTCAAAACCAGATCACACTAAAAACGTTTGGGATGTTGAGGACAGATTTGGCTTTAGATGAACAGTGGAGACTCCATGTCAGTATCCATAGGCAAAGGAGATCAGAGAGATTTTAAAAGATCTCATCAATGTGACTTGCTTCCTTGCCAAACAGCAGCTGGAGTTTTATGGAAATGATGAGAGCATGGGCTCTGCTAATCATGACAACTATGTTGAACTCCTATGTGTCTTTGCTGAGAAAGACGTCAGGCTCGCTAGACATTTAGAGACATCCACTCTATTGTCTGGCTTGTCGAACAGAATACAGAATGATTTAATTGAAGCAGTCATTGATGTCATTATAAATTATATTAAACAGAACATCAGTGCAGCCTCATTTATAGCTGTAGAAGTATATGAGACCACAGATGTCACAAGCAAAACTCAGATCTCAGAGTATTGGACATTGAATACCGTCTTGCATGCATCAACAGTTTCAGTTACTGAGAAGATGAGACTGGAGTTTGACAGTTTCTACTACCAATTTGAGGAGAAATGAGGCGCACTTGGTTTGACAGAGTGTGGAGACAGTCGGCTAGAGAAGAACGAAGACGTGTGTTGTGTAACATTCTTGACAACATCAGCAATCAAATGAAGACTATGTTTGACCACTTCAATGAACTTGCTTTCCTTGGTTTGGTGGATTGCGCAAAATTCAGTGAAATGTCAACGTTTTGACGACACAAAACTAAGGAGCCTGCCAAAGTATGCTAAGTTCTTTGACTTTGTCAGACTTAAGTCTGGTCACATTGGACTGTATAGCAAAAAAACGGTGAGGGATGAATGTAAATCTCATGGACAGCTTCTCAATTTTTGCCCAAGAAGGATGTTTATTGCAACTGTTCCTGAGGCGACAAAGTTGCTCCAGCAGTTCTTGCGGTGTCAGTGGAGCGGTCATTCTCTGAACTGAAAAGTCTCAAATAGGGCTGAAACGATTCCTCAAATGATTCGAGTACCTCGATTACTAAAATTCCTCGAGGAAAATTT